CAAATACACGGAGCTCTTATCAAGGGTGTTGTAAGGAGCTTGGGCAAGGGGGTAGTTCGCCCCCCGAACCGGAGGCTGAAGTCAGAAGGGCTGCCCTAGACTGAAGCTCTGCCCTCTCACCTCTCAATGTGGACAAGCTGTTCACCGGCTGTTGTCCATGGTGACTCTGCGACAGTCTTGCTGTGAGGATCAGTAAGACGGCACATTACAAACTGATTCCTGGCATGTCTGGGTTCTTCATCAATAGTCATACGAAATGACATTAACTCAAGCTTTATACTTTGGTTTATTAAAAAGCACACGTCAAGCACTGCACACAGATATTCAGGTTTCCAGCCCACCAAGTGATCATTTTTCACTTTGAAACCATTTACTGAGAAAAATTACACAACCATTTTGACCTTGCTAAGACATTCAGCAAGACCTCCAATAAACCATTCTGATCCCTGATGCAGTCATTTAGACGGCAGTTAACCCGTCCGACAGGCAGCTCTCCCTCCACATCCGGGTGCGGAGCCGGGCCGCTCAGTCACGCACAGCAGGGCGCGGTCCCGCTCTCAACTGGGCTGCGGCACCCGGACAAGCGCATGAAGGGCCGCCGCCTGCAGTGACCCAGCTGTCTCTCACCTGCTGCTTTACAGCTTGCAGGCTATTTTCATGAGCTCTAAATGTATCTGGCGCCAGATCAAGCCAGAGGGTCAGGGATCTGGGTCTTAAGCTACAGGAAGGAAGGAGGGAGCCCTGGAAGACTTCTGATTTTGCAAGTGTATCAGTCAGAGGTTTGTCTGGCAACCCCAGGTGGGAACAGGACGGAAGGAGGAGGGAGTAGGTGCCCCTCATTGAGAGAAGTGGCAAGTGAACAGGCACGAAGGCAGTAAACCCTGACGAAGACACTTTCAAGACCTGGTTAGAACACGCATCTGTGGTGAAAACAGCACAGCGACCTTCCTTGGGAGCGTCTCCCTGCCCTGCTCCCCAGGCTACCATCTGGCACTTCACGTGCATTATGCCCTGGAATCCTCAGACTGCCACCAGGGGAGTGCTGTCCTTAGCCTCGCTTTACAAGGGTTAAGGGGTGTGCCCGCGGTCACACAGCTGGAGAGACTCGCATTAGGACCCACACCGGGTGTGACTCTCCAGGGCCCGCTCTGCCCTGTCTCTGAGCGAGCCCACGGGCCCTGCAGACAGACAGCCTGGTCGGCCGTGAAGGAGAAGAATGAGAGGACCCCACACCTGGAGTGTGGGGACAGGAGTGATGGTTCCATCACTGCTCTGAGGAAGAAAGTGACCACATGCTTCAGGTAGGTACCACCTTGACGTGGCAGCAGAAGCTCAAAGTGAATTTTTCCCCAGGAATTTGTAATTATAAAAACTGCTACTGCATCTGGAATCAGAATCATTTACTGGAGAGCTTGCCATGTGGCAGCAAAAATCAAACAACTGTGTGATTTTCTGAATGAATGGTTTCAATACAAAAATCATCGCTCAAATGTGCTCGAAGCCTGAATATCTACACACAGTGCATGTCCACGTGCTTTCTGACAAACCAACGTATTAAACTCAACTTAATGTAACTTAATACGATTATTAACGCTACGGTTCTTGACTTAAGACCAAAGCGTCCCGAGCATCGGATTATCAGTACTTAACCATGCTTCAGACAGAGACAAAATATGACGTTTCAACACCTGACAGTAAAATACTCTAGCTATGCTGGAAATCATTCCTCTCCGAACACCCAGAAATGCAGAGTGAGACACCTGAAACACTCTTTTAAATGCACAGCGGATCTCGAGAAAGTATAGGGTCCACAAGAGCCCAAAACAAGAAGAAAACTGTCAGCTGGAACAGAAGCCAGCCCTGGAGCTGCAGGCCACCCCGGGGCTACCTGGCCAACACTCGGGCCCGAGGCTCTCTGAGGCGAGCAGGGGTAATGGGGACAAGGCTTCAGGCCAGACTGGAGGGTGGGGGAGCTGGAACTGATCTCCCCTGCAAAACCCAGAACCCCGGAAGACCCAACTCTCAGGGAAAGGCCATTTGCTGGCAAATCGAGCTGACAAGGAATTGTCTTATCTCAGGCGTGGACTGAAGTGAATAAAAAAGGACAGTTCCCAAGGATCTGTGATCGCAAACCTGCCCTACCCAGCCCCAGAGTCTGAATTTATTCTTCCTTCCCTAAGAAGCTCCGTGCCAGGCAGTCTGGCGTGCTTCCGAGGTCGGTGGCACTCCAAGGTGCCTGCAGAGTGAACAAAAGCCCAGCTGTGGAACAAAAGTCTCGACCCAAGTCCCTCGGCATCTGCACACGTGAGGATCAGCCCCGAAGCTCACAAATAGAAATTACCATAGGGAAACAGGCCCCATACAGAAGAATCAGCTAAAAAAGGCAGTCACAGAATTGCACGACCCCTCACCCCGACTCAAGTATTTCACTTAGAATGAAGAGACCCAGAACATAAAAGAAATATGCTTAACATTCTTAAAGAAATATAAAAGGAAACTGAAACGTAAGAGCAAGCCATTATTATAAATAATCAAATGGGGGGAGGGATGTATTGGGAGTATGAGATTAACAGATGCCCAGTGCCGTATATAAAACAGATAAACAATACGGACTTACTGTATAGCACAGGGAACTACATTCAGTATCTTATAATAAATTATAATGAAAAAGAATTGAAAAAAGAATATAGATACACACATATGTGTAACTGAATCACTTTGCTGTACACCTGAAACTAACACAATATTGTGTATCAACTATATTTCAACTTAAAAAATTACTTTAAAAATCAGGTAGAAATGAAAACTAATCAAAAGAGGCTCATGGTGGGCTAAATAACAGATGAGTCACAGCTGAAAGAAGTTTATTGCACTAGATGGCAGATCGGTGCAGAAAAGAAAGAAAAGATAAAAAACGTAAAGAAGTGAAGAGTCACAGAGGACAGAACACGAAGGTCCCACCTGCGTCTAACTGGGACTCTCTGAAGGCAAGAAAAGAGCAAGAGAAGGTGGTGTCCTCGGAGATACGCTGAACGCCACCCAGAACTGATGAAAGGGCTGCGCCCGCAGGAGCACAAGCCTTGAACAAGACTCATGGAAAGAAACACACACGCACATCGTGTAGTGAAACGGTCAAACCTCAAATGCAGTAAGAAGGTATTAATATGTCAGAGAAAAAGGGAAAACGACTAAATATGAGTAATTATTTAGAAAGGACTTCTCAACAATCGAGTCCAGAAGACAGTGGAACATTATCCTCAAAGTG